GGCAAATTAAAAAGTGCTCCTTTTTCTTGATGTCAGTGGTTGCTTATGTGTATCTGGGGACTCTTCTTTGTTCTGTCTGCCATTGTTGAGTGCCATTAGAGAAACAAAACTAATCTGAAAGCAAGCGACAGCAAACTGGAAATGAGAGAGCAGAAATATTAAGAAAAAATAATTTTAAATAAAGCTCCCACATAGGCAGATTGTGGTGTTTCATCTCTGCATATCTCTGAGGAAAACAACGTAATAATTAGTAACAAACAAAACTCATCAGCAAACTTCCTGTGAATCAAAGACTGGGAAACATGGGAAATCACTAGCTTTCCGAGTGTCTTCCTAACAAATTGCTTGTGACAAAATCCCTCAATGGAATGACAGACTTTGAATTTCCATGGTAAGAACGGTCCTTTGCTAAACAGGTTCATGACAAACCAGGCTCATTGTGCAGCCAACCTCCACTGCTGCAGGCTCAGCATTAACATGTTGGAAAGGCAGAAATTATAATGCACATGACCAAGGTGTCTCCCTTCTACAGAGTGAGTGGCAGACGGTTCAGCCTAAATTCGGCAGATGAGGAAGCAATCGTTTGGCCTTCAGGGATTTGCATTTGCTAAACAAAATAAATCATAATTTTGTGCTGAGATACAGTCTTCAAGTTTAAACTAAGATACCGCAAAGGTTTGTCTTTGGTTTCGTTGAACGTTGATCAGTTTAGTGCACTGGAACTGTGATCTTTCTGAAAACTAAAATAATTGAGTCAACATAAAATTGAAGAATGTCAGTCACAGGGTTGAGTAAAGGTGAAAAATAACAATGGTAAAGGTAGCTGCTCAAGTTAGATACTTTGAAGCCTTGATGACGGGAGACATTGAAAGGCCTGTGATCTCAACTTAGCATTCTTTAAATGATCTGTTGTTTTACTACTCACAATGGTATACCCATGCTGTCTACACTCTCAGGAAGAGAACCTTTCATGAGTTGAACTGCTGAAGTCTTCCCTTTGTGACCTGCACAACTCCATCCAGTGATTACACTTCTTTTTTAATTTCATAAATATACTTTATTCATTAAAAAAATCGTTATATACAAACATAATTACTAGAGCAGTTCGGTTCTATACAGTCTTTGCATACATAGAAACAAGCAAATGTTGGAGCTCAACTTTTCCGACATTTCCAACGAACAAACCCAAGGTTTTCTTACTTACACAAGATACTACTTACATATATTTGAGGCACCGGGAGGGTCTGATAATTGAACAGACCTCCATTGTACTTTGGCCAAAAGGGTTTAGACAGCGACCTTTCCCCACAGCACCTTGGTGACAGCTGCCCCAAGCTTTAGTGCATCCCTCAGCGTTTTGTCCTACACCTTGGAATGGGCCAGTCTGCAACACTCTATTTGAGGTCAACTCCTTGCTCTGGAAGACCACCAAGTTTCGGACAGACTAAAGAGCATCTTTCACCAAGTTGATAGTCCTCCAGGCACAGTTGATGTTTGTCTTGGTGTGGGTCCCTGGACACAGGCCCTGGAGCACAGAGACCTCCATCACGGAGCTGCTCAGGATGAACCTCGACAAACACAACCGCATCTTTCTCCAGAACTTCTTTGCAAAGACACATTCCAGAAAGTGGTATATGACAGTCTCTACCCCACTACAGTCGCTTTGTAGGCAGCATGCTGTAATGCAGAGACTCCAGGTATACATTAAGGATCTCACAGCTAGAGCCCTTCCCTCCACCAGCCAAGAGACATCTTGGTGCTTGTTGGCAAGTTCTGGTGATGAAGCATTCTGCCAAATGACTTTGACAGTCTGCTCAGGGAACCACACGACAGAATCCACCCTCCTTTTCCCACAGGGTCTTGAGGACACTATGTGCTGACCACTTCCTGATGAACTTGTGGACAAAGGTGTTTTTCTTTGCAAATTTCTCCACAAAGGACAGGTGATGTGGAACAGTCCAACCACTTGGAGTGTTGTTCAACAACAAGGCTAGTCCCATCCTTCGCAACACAAGGGACATGTAGAATCTCGGTATATAGGGAATCTTGGTGTTTGCAAACTGAGGGTCTACCCACAGCTTGATGCAGCTGTTCACATAGGTCAGGATGAGGGCCACGATGGGGACATTCTTCCCTCCCTCATCTAGAACTTTGTACATGGTATCCCTGCAGATACAATCATCTTTGATCTCCAGATGAAGCAGAAGATGGCTCAGGTGACTGTAACGGCACAGGTTCAGGGAATGGGCCAGACGTGCACCACGTTAAACAACAGAGACAGTACCTCACACCTAATGACCTGGGTTTTTCCCGGCCATGGAGAGGGAGCGGCGCTCCCAAATCCCAGTTTCTGCTTCACCTTGGCAATACGCTCTTCCTAAATTTTTGTCCATGCCCCAACCCTGCTGAATCATATTCCCAATCAGGTAATTTGTCCTGACGGTGAAGCAGATAAAGGATCGTTCGCCCAGTTTCCAAAGAACATGGCCTCGCTTTTGCCTTGATTTACCTTGGCTCCCAAGGCCAGTTCAAATTGGTCGCAGATGCTCATGAGTGTGCGCACAGACAGCGGATCTAAGCAGAAAACAGTGTCATCATTCATGTACAGGGAGGCTTTGACCTCTAGGCCTCCATTTCTCGAACAGTCACCCATCCCAGGTTCACATCCTTCCTGATGGACTTAACAAAAGGCTCTGTACAACACACAACAAAGCAGGGGACAGGGGGCACACCTGCCTGACTCTGGATCTGATTGGGAAACTTTGATTCCCACCCATTGATTGAGACTGCACTAACAATGTTGGTGTAGAGCAGTTAGATCCAACTGTGGATTCTCTCCCCAAAGCCCATTTCGGACAGCGAGTGTGCAATACCCTGTCAATGGCCTTCTCCTGGTCCAGGCTGATGAAGCAGGTATCCATGCCCCTGTACTGCACGTAGGCAATCGTATCCCTGAGGAGCACAAGGCTCTCAGAGATCATCCTGCCCAGTACAGCACGGGTTTGGTCAGGGTGAATCATCATTGGTGGTCCCTCACAGACGAGAATGACTCTCTTCCACTCTCAGGGTGAGTCCACAGGTTGCTGCACAATGCAATATGGCTTCTGGGAGTTCTGTTACACTTCGGGCAGAAGGTGGTCATGGGAAGGGGCATTGGCGCGCTCCTTACACTGTTTTCACCTGGCTCCCGCCTTTTTTCCAATGGCAAGTCTCAAGGCAGGTGCTCGACACATTCCTGGATACTCCTCCTCCACTTTGGATGGTCTTGAACCAGTGCTTCCGAGGTGGCTGTGGGAATGCCGCACTTCTCCTTGAGGGTATCAGTGAAGCACTTCCTCTGTCCACCTGGTACTCGCCTGCCATTTCATAGCTGGGAGTACAGCACCTGCCTGGGGAGTGCCGGTCATGCAGATGACCTGACCAGCCAATCGTAGCCAATCAAGGGCGGTCAGTGCCTTGATGCTAGTGGTTGTTGGCTCAGCCAAGGATGCTGGGATGAATCACTGATCAAAGAGCGCACTGACCCGGTTGGTGATCATTCTCAACATGTGCTACTAATATTATGTAGTGCGCCTCAGAGACATGCAGAGATGAAACACCACAATCTGCCAATGCAGGAGCTTTATTTACAAATTTGTTTTACTAACACTTCTGCTCTCTAATTTCCAGTTTGCTGCCGCTTGCTTTCAGATTAGTTTTTGTTCCTCTAATGGTATTCACTAACGGCAGACAGAACAAAGAAGACTCCACAGACACACATAAGCAAACACTGACCAATTAACTGCTACACTCCCATCAAGAAAAAGGAGCACTTTTTAATTTGCCTGCAAAATCTGGATGAGTTCTTCACTCAGTCATATACCAAATAACTAAAATGTGAAAAAAATGTTTATTTTCTTTCCCTGCGTTCACTTTCCAAAATATTCTTTTTGAGCAGTATGAATTGTAACAATAGTATAAAACAAGAAGTAATTGTGGCGCCGTTGAAAGAAAGGAAGAGGAAGGAAATAAGGAAGTGCATGGGAGGGAGGAAGGGGGAGTGGAAGAGGAGGAGGAAGCGAGGGTGGAAGCAAGAATTGATTTATTTTATACAGCATATTTACATATCTTGAGACATGTGGACAAAAGAAAAATACTGCCGATGCTGGACATGTGAAATAAAAACAGAAAGTGCTAGGGAAACTCAGCAGATCTGGCAATATCTGTAAAATGAGAAAGAAGAGTTAATGTTTGAAGCCCAAAGCCTCTTCTCGGATATAAAATATTAACTCTCAACAGAGATGTTACTCGACCTGCTGAGTTTCTCCAGCACATCGTGTTTTTAATGTGAGACATCTGAAATACTTCAAATCAAAACTCAATTTGATGAATGCCAGGTAATTGTTCGATTGGTATTTATGGAGAGATGAAATTGGTCAGTCCACTAGGAGATGGCTGCTGTCTTCCTCCAGTAATATCATGGCATCTTAGTCAACTAGTATTGTCTCAATTTATTATGTCGTCCAAAAGATGGTTAGTAACACAGCACTCCAGCACCCTTTCAGTACTACACTGAATTGTCAGCATGGTTTATATGTTCAATCCTCTAACAGAAGCTTTCTGACTGAAAGATCAGAGTGTAAGATTCATACGTTCTTTTCGTTCAGATCAATGAAGAAAGGCAAAATATACCTCAGTGTGATTCGATCAATGCCTAGCTTATTTATGAATATTGACCCAAGGCTGTGATAATGAAAATGAACACCACTCATAACTGAAGAATGATTTTATGAGGGGAAAAAAAATGAAGGATTACTTTTAGCATGCATCCTGCATTACAAACAAAATTAATTTCATATTATAGCATCCAAATGGCCAATATGCTTCCGAATAATTTTTGTTTCATGACCATTTGAATAAGTACTTGAAAGTAACTGTACTCTGCATATAAATAAAAAGTTAGAAAGAACAACTGGCCTCTAATTTGGAAAAGACAAACAAAGTGAGTTAGAAATACCAACCTCCAGGATGACTTGAGACTTTTGACTGTGTGACAGAGGTCCTGTGGAGTCAGCAGAGATGGTGAAAATCAATTTCCCTCCATATGCTGTCAGCTGCAGTCAGAGAAGCAGAATACAACTTTAGAATGTTCTCTCTTTTACTGATTAAAATAAACACTTCAAATGTTTTTCTACAGCATTTCAAAATTTGAGAATAAAATCCAATTTAACCTCTGTATTGTAATTTTTCATATAAATCAGTCTACTAAAGTATTTGAATGTAAACTTATAACTTTGCTCAATTATGCATCATATAACAACACATCATACTGTAATAACTGAGACAATACAAAGATCTTGAACTGAAATTTGTGCACTAATGTGTTTACAACTCTCTTTTCAAACGATAACTTATACAGCACCGTAAGAAATTAAGGCCACCATTTAGTCTCCACTAACAAGACTCCATTGAATCCTTGCAATTTTTCAAATATTAACAATTCTTTTACACTTGGAAAGTGGTGTGATTTTTAAATAATAGTTCAGAAATTTGAAGATAAGCTCCAATAATAATTGCTCAGTTGACAATTTGACGGTTTGAGTGAACAGAGGTAATCATTTTGTCATCATATTAAAAGAAAATAATGTACTGTGGGTTAAATGCAGAATGAAATGATGTTGGAGGAACAAGAACAAGAGGGCACAGACTTAAAGTGATTTCCAGAGATGTGATGAGGAATAACTTTTTCCCTCAGCGAGCAGTTAGCGTATGGAAACCACTGCTTGGAAGTATGGTGAAGTCAGGTTCAATTGAGGAATTCAAGAGTGCATTAGATGATTATTTCAATAAAAATAATGTGAAGGGAATGAGGAAAAAGCAAGCAATTTGCAACAGAAAATGATGCTCATTTAACAAGCCAATAGAGGCACATTGGACTGAATAGCCTCTTTATACACCGTGACACCTCTGTTATTCTGTGAAATTAACAAGCCTCAATCAGGAAATATGACGCATAAACATGCTCAAACCCTCACATTCACATTCATTCATACACGCTCAGTGATGAGCTACTTAACACCTTGTTAAAAATGCCCTGGATAAAGATACGATTAAGAAAAGGCAGACGGACAACATGAATACATACAGGTATAACGTGTGTTTCGTTAATGCGAATTGGCTGTAATGCAATTGATGAATAGTGGACGCTGTTTGGATAACGCAAACTTCTTGTTGTACAGGTATAGCAATTTTCTATAGCAATTTCCCTATAATGTGATTTTCTATGGCAATTTCCTATAGCACAATTTTCCATAGTGCAAGGTCACATAACAATGCAACTATCGCATTATAGGAGAACTACCTGTACAGGTAAAGAAGACTGCTTCAATGAAATGCCACTATAACTTGAAGATATACGATTTTTCCTCATTGTAATTAGATGGACAAGGAAATAGAGAGGCAGAGGTGTTTAGAGCAAAAGGCCAGACAACTGATAACATGGTTTCCATGGGAAAGGTTGGGGAGTGCTACTTGTACAAGAAGCATGAGTCTGAGGAATAGAGAGTTCTGCCAGTTTGGAGGGATGGAAAAAGCGATAAAGATAGGATGGGGGTTGGCATTGTACACAAAAACGAGAATTATAAATTTGGACTGGGAGCCAATTAAAGACAGCAAGTTAGGTGACAAATGAACAGAAAAGGCTGTTGTCAGCATTTTGGATAAGCTAAATTTCCCTAAAGGAATCTTCTCTAAATAAAACTGGTCAAGAATCTAGGAGACTATCAGAATAGATAAATCCAGAGGTAGGTTTTGTCTAAGGAATTCAGCAGTAAGTGGACTGAGGTGAACATGAAAGTGTGTTCAGGTCAGGAGCTTATTTCAACAGGATGGTGGAATGGGGTGGCAAATTTATAAGCAGTTTGGTTCAACCTTAGGCAGGAGCCCAAGATAGGGTCATACAGTATAAAGTTTGTGGTCAAGATGGCTTCAATCTTCCCAATGTTTAACTTGGGGAAATGGCAGCACGTCCAAAATTGGATCCTAAACAATCTAACATTACAGAGGCGACAAATGGGTATCACTGGGTATATTTGTGGAAGCCAATCCCAAATCCTTGGATTACAATATCAAACCACAGCAAGTTAGATGGAAACAGATCCTTCAGGATCTCCTGGGTTTGCAAAGCCATTGTGGGAGATGCTGTGATCACATTTAGACAGGTGGAGCAGAATAAAGAAAAGGTTGATTCAAAAAACAAAGGGACTCAGAGTGATTCTTGTTTGAAGTGCGGGGGTGGGTGGCAATAACAATCATAGGAAAGAGAGGGAAGATCACTCATATCGAAGGATGTATTTACAAAGGCAGCCAGAAGACTGCCAGGGAAAGAAAGCTGAGTTGTCAGCAATTTTGTAGGAATAGATGACAGAAATTAGGAAAGGGATCTTCTCAGGTTAAGTACTACAAGAAGAGAAAAACCTAGAGTAGGCACAAGATCAAGACTTGGATTAGGGAAGACACGGATGAATGCTTGATTTGGTGAGCAAGGTGAAAGAGGAGAAACATTAGAGATAGATAATTATTCGGAGCTTCTTACAATTTTAGGAGGTGGGAATGGGGCAGACTATGCAGGAAAGTGACTAAAGTTATCTTTTTGCTCCAGGCACTTTTGACATAATGTGCAGTTTAGTATAACAGAACAATTGAACTTTTGTTCTTCAGAAATAGGAGAATTATCTGTATTAAAGTAAGCAACAGAATACTTTCTTGGCAAAGTATATAATTTTCTTCTAATTTTCATGATACAAAATGTGTCATAAGTGCCATAGAACTAAGTGCAAATTTTTGGATTGCTGAATGGACAGATCTTAGCAAAATAACGGCCTGATCAGTCACACCTTGCTGTAAAGACCTTGGTTAGGGAAGGAGATAAGAATATTTCTACCACAGTGATCCTCTGCTGAAGTATACGTGTGCAAACATTACAAGAAGAGGTTGAGCATCAACTGTACTCTCCTATGTAGTGAAGTAGCCTAATGGGTCAAACATGAAACCTGACCACATGGACAAGGCAGCAGCAGATACCTGCCTTGTGAAGAGCTCTAATGAGGTGAGAACATCTTAAGGAATGGCTGACAAACTAGAAAAAAAAGAACAACTGCACATTTTGATACAACTTGTAAATAAAACACAGTTTCTAATTTCCTACTTAATGCATAAATAAATTATCTTAAGACCAATAGTGTGGGTTATCTCCTCTGGGAAATTACATATGACATACTGGAACTTTAATGTTAAATGTGAGCCAAAATAAATTGCTATGTACTTCTTTAAAATAGCAAATGTTAAAATGGACCATCAGGTCGACCATTTCACTTGGTAAATCTACAACATAAAGTGTAAGAAGTCTGCACATTCTTAGTTGGGAGATATATGCAAGATTTTCTCAGGATGTTGGTTCAGCATGTCTGAAATTTACAAAACAAACCGGAAATTAAATCTTTAATGAAATATCAAAACAAAAATGTTTTTGCAAACATTGCAAACTTCCTTAAACAGGATGCAGATACGCAGCTCAGTCTACTGATATCTTCATCGATCTACTATGATTAATAATTCAATTAGTTGTTTAGTCTTCACTATTTATTGTTATGAGAAGTAATTAAATCACAAGCACTTAAGGGGAGATGGTGATGTAGTGGTAATGTCACTTGGCTAGTAACCTAGAAGACCATGCCTGTTCTCTGTCGACACGGGTATTACTGACTCATAACGAACATGCGTCTTCTGTCTACTATCCTGGAAGCTGAGAAATCCATAAAAGGCCAGAAAGTGTTGTGCAAATATCTAAGACAGAAAGCTCAATGGAAGTCTGGAATACTGCGCTGCATGTGTGTGTGTAGCTCATAGAAGCTAACGATCCGTTGGACTTCATGTGCTTTTTCAGTCAGATCCCCGACTGAGATGCTGAGTTCTCATCTGCAGCAAGTCGAAGCATACAAGCAGAATGTTTGTGAAATAGAAACCTATATGCCTCCAATCTATAATTTTTTAACCCGCCCCTTTTAATGTGCAACTCTAAGAAGAGGGCAGTCATTACTGCTTTGCAGGCCTCTACGTTTACATCAGCACTCCACTTTCCTTGTCCAATTACAGATCCACGCACTTGAAGGGTTATTGCAGTAGTGAAGGTAAACAGACTGTGAATCCAGTCCTGAATCCAGAACTGCAGGTAATATGAAAACATGAAAGGAACTGGTGAAGCATTCTGCACCAATAGTGAAGCAACTAATGAATTCCTTGCTTACTTAAAGAGAGTTTCTCAAGAATGTGGTCACACACGAAAACAAGTTTTTGATGTTGCTGAGACAGATTTTATTGGAAGTGCGGGGTACAAAGAACATACATCTTCAAAGAGGAGATGACAATGCTGAGATTCAAATTTACCAAAGATCATTTTACTCTCCTGCTAGGTTGAACCACTGCATGGGCATGCAAATTGAAGCCTTTATTCGTATTCCAGTCAGAGACGCTAAAGGCTCTAAAGTTTATTCCAATGCACATTTGCCTGCCATTTGGTCTTCAAATAAGGAAGCCTGGATGACAGGACATTCTCTCAAGAGTGGTAGCGAGAAGAATGGAAAATAAAGAGTACAACTCTAAAAGATTTGCAGGCTATGGGTGAGTACATGTATGAGTCATTTACGGTGGCAGATCAGGTTGAGAGGCCGATCAATAAAGCACACGATATCCTGGGCTTTACTGAACATGGAGGTTATGCAGGACCTTCTATAAGACACTTGTTCAGCCTCAGCTGGAATACTGCATCTGTTTTGAACTGTAGATTGTAGAGAAGGCATGCAGGAATCAGACAGAGTTGAGAGAAGACTGATGAGAATGGTTCCCAAGGATGGGGAATTTCAGTTATGAAGACAGACTGGACAAGTTGGGCTGTTTTCCTCAGAAAAGAGAATGCTGAGAGGAGAATTGGTAAAGATATTCAAAATCACTACACAGAATAGGGGAAAATTGTTCGCATTAATGCAAGGATTGGGAACAAAAGGGCACAGATTTATTGTAACTGGCAAAAAACAACAGGAGATTAAAAAATTTTCAC